ATCTACAAGTTGAAAGGAGAAAGATGTAGGGGTGTGTGTGTTGGCCTAGCATGGGCTTTTGGAGCCTCAAAGCCCACCTCTGGTGACACACCTCCTCCAACAAGGCCATACTCCTAATCCTCCACAAAATAGCTCACCAACTAGGTAGGGACCAAACATTCAAATTCATGAGCCTACGGGGCCATTCTCATTTCAAGCACAACAGTCTCTCTGCTCAGATCTTGGTGTGAAAACCCCTAGACTTTCCTTATCTAATGTGTACTGATCTAAACTACTGAGTCTCTAAAACCATTCAGGCACATCTAGGTCCTTCAGGGATACCGCCAAAGCAACACCTGCTTGCACAATGGCTATTCATCTAGGCATGGGACACACAGAATTTGTGGGAACCTGCTGGGGTTGAGGAGAGGGTTATAGGTAGGAGGCATGGCTGGAGTGAGAAAATGCCCAAACATTTTAAAATCTAAAGCTAATGCCAGCCAGTCAGAATCTAAGTTATTTTTCTTGGGTCCATTCTTCCACGTGGGGAGTTTGACAGTGGTTTTAGGTCCTGAGGAGTCCATGCCTTTTGACCTATGCTGGCTGATTCATCTTCAGAACCCTGAACTGGTGGTGACTGGACCTACAGCAGAACTTTCTGGGGCTTCTCTGTCTGTCTTTCTTTTTTCTGAGACAGGGTTTCTCTGTGTAGCTTTGGAGCCTATCCTGGCACTCGCTCTGGAGACCAGGCTGTCCTCGAACTCACAGAGATCCGCCTGCCTCTGCATCCCGAGTGCTGGGATTAAAGGTGTGTGCCACCAACACTCGGCTGGGGCTTCTCCTCTTTCTAATCTCCAGTCTACCTGTCTAAGTCCTTGGTGAGGAAGGACAGGTCCATGGTAACTGTAAGAGTTTCTTTTGGCATTTGCAGTCAGGAGACCTGAAAACTGGTCCTGGGTGTCACCAGCAGCGTGCAGGCTGCCTCACCCTTCTCCTCACACTGCTAATAGCCTTCTCTCAGAGTTGGCAAGTCAAGTGGGATGGGGGTAACCACATACTTAATGACACGGTCTTATAGTGATTAAGACAGAGATTAACTGATTATTTTATCTTATCCCCCAAGAATGTGGATGGTGCCCAGTTCTACATCAACTCTGCGTTTCTCTCTTCACCTAATTTTTTTTTTTTTTAAGCCCAAAGAATTAGTTAGTGCTGAAGGATTCTAAAATGTGCTCAGGACCAGTGGCTGAAGGTTGGCTGCACTGAGTGTCATGTGAAGGACTTTGAATGGTGTTTATTTTTAATTGCTTTTGTGTTTTTGAGACAGGGTCATTCTATGTAACTCAGGCTGGCCTTGAATTCATCATCCTCCTACTTCAGTTTCCTGAGGGCTAGGATGGCAGGCATGAGCCACACCAGGCCTGGCATGAGAGACGTTTCCAGTGGGTGCTGAAGAGTCTGTTTTGGGTAGCTTTCCTAGTGGTTTGGCATTGCGCATGGTGGGTGTTTGGGTGAGCTCTGGTCTAGACATCGCTCTGCCATAGGCAAGAAGGTCTTTCTGGTGTTCCAAGGAGGTGTCAGCCATCTGTGTTTACAGACTTCAGCCAGGACTCCACCCAACTCTGAAGCCCTCCCCCGATGGAGTGTTATCTCCATTTACTGGTGTGTACTTCCCTCTGCAAAGATTATAAGTGGTTTGCCACCGTCTTCCCGCAACTTCTGGGTCTCCTACCTCCCTGGTTCCCATTGCCTACCTGTTCTTCTCATGGTGGGCTTGTCATCTGTTTCTTCTTGCTATTCTTTGAAGCTCATGTTTTCTGCAACTCCGACTCCAGCTCTTCATTCCTTCCCTACACTTTCTCCCGTCTGGAGTCTGGGTTTATTTTTCTTCCTGCCTAACTACTTCTAATATACTAAGTCAATAAACAGATTCTCTGTGGTTACATATGGCAAACAGCTGAGATTTACAGTCGAGAGTAAAATTTCCTCATTTGGGAAAAACCCATCATTTCACAGATTTTAAAAGTGGTCATTCTGGTCTCCAGGGCAAATAACAGTGTTTTATAACCTTTCACAAAAGCTTATGCCTTGATTAAATTTTTATTATGAATTATTAATTAAACCAAGGAAATGCAGAGGCCCAAAACTTTGCTTAAATTTGCTCCAGATTGAGACACAAACTAAAGGCGGCAAGAAACCCTGAAGGGGAGGTTTAATGATGAGCAACACACATAAAGCTATTCCAGCACTTTCATCTGCCAAAGGCTCCAAACCAGCCATGGAAATGAACCCACGTGCCCAGCCAGAACCCAGTTAGAAACAGGCCTGAAAGAAACAGGACCTTCGCAGCCTCAGCTGCCTTCCCTGGCCTGAGTGTCCTTGGTCTATGGAGCACTGGGCCTTTAGAAACTCAGATTGGGCTCTGTGTTCGGGTTCCATGAAGTGTTGGGCCTGTAGAGACGCTGAAGTCCTTCATTTTGAGAGTGGCTGTGACTCGGCAGAGGATACCTAGTAAGCAGCAGAAAAGAAAATCAGCCTGCCGCCTTGGAAGCTGGCCCACAAGCCAGGTGAAGTCGGGTACCACTCTCAGATCAAGTGATTGACTCAACCAGGCCCATCCAATGTGACTGCACAGGTTGCTGGTTGCCAAGTGCATTAACAGATGCAGACATCTAGCTCCTACATCCGTTACCATACCCTCCTTGAGCAAAGAAGTCTTGCCTGGGGGTCAATAGGACATACAGGGATGAGTAGGAGGGTGGGTCTGTATTCTCCCAATAAGGGCATCTTCTTTCTTGGAACAAAGAATAAAGGTTGGCCATCTAGACTTCAATCAAGAGATGCTGGCCATTAAAAAGCTCTCAAAGGCTGATGAGATGGCTTGATGGGTAAAGGTACTTGTGCAAACCTCTTGAACTGAGTCCAAACCCTGTATCCCATGCTGGAAGAAGAGAACCGACTCCTAAAAGTTACCCTCTGATTACCCATCACCACACAAACACACGCGTGTGCGCAGACACACACACACACACACACACACACACACACACGGGGGGGGGGTGTTTTGTGAGTTGTGGAACAGCCCCTGATTCAGGGCTACTTTTTCCCCCTCCCACGTCCTCTGGTCTCTTTGGCTCCAATAGGAACACAGGAATTAAAGATGCATACTGCACATCTTTCACGACATTAAAAAAAAAAAAAAAGGACTCCAAAACTGGGCATATTGGCCCATGCCTTATTCCTAGTGCTTGGGAAGCAAAGGCAGAAACATCAGAAGTTCAAAGTCAACCTTGTTTATATAGTGAGTCTGAGGCCAGCCTGGGGTAACACAACTCTATTATTGTATCATTATTACTATTACTATTATTATTATTATTATTTTAGAAAATGAGAGACAGCCATCTAACCCTTTGGCTGTGGACAGCCTCTCAGGACTTGATGTCTGCACTTCCCAGCTGCCTTCTCATTGGGCTGTGCCCATCAGGAAGCTGACTTCTCTGACCTCAGAGGACAAGAGGGTAAAGAACTTTCCACGCCTGGGGTAACACAACTCTATTATTGTATCATTATTACTATTACTATTACTATTATTATTATTTTAGAAAATGAGAGACAGCCATCCAACCCTTTGGCTGTGGACAGCCTCTCAGGACTTGATGTCTGCACTTCTGAGCTGCCTTCTCATTGGGCTGTGCCCATCAGGAAGCTTACTTCTCTGACCTCAGAGGACAAGAGGGTAAAGAACTTTCCACCTGCCCCAGGAAGGGAACACTACCCCACACCTCCCATTATCTTTAGGCGTTCCCTAGTTATGCCCAAGAGATACCTCACAGAGACTGGCATTTGTTTGGAGTTTTCCTAGACTGAAGCGAGTGCTTGAGGCAGATTGGCAACACCACTTCTGTGCGTGACATCACATAAATGAGTTGGAAGAACCCTGTAAAGATAAGAGCAATGGTAGAAAGAAAGAAGGGTGCCGTTTCCTTTCTAATATCTGCTATGAATCACAGCCCCAAAGGAAGACAGAAAACAGACAGTGGCGTAGGGCTGAGGAGCAGGGCTGCCATGGGGGAGGGGACCAGATCCCTGAATGGTGTCACCAGAGGCTGTGTAGAGTGGGAGGTAGAAGGCAGTCGGGCTGCCCTAAAGGGTGGGGTCGGGGGCTAGCCTTGACTGACATCTAGTTTTGTAACTGTAATTGCGTACACTGTATAAATCCATCAGCACTGGTACCCGCTCAGTGTGCCAGCACCTAATTAATACTTAATGTGAATCCAGAACAGCCAGGAGCCTGGGGGAGTGATGATAACCCTTCCACCCCCAATTTGGGGATTACTTCAACCCTGGAGGACTCCTTCCAGGAAAATCCTTCCCTTCCCTCTCCTCATCTACCCAAAGTGAACGTAAGGGCTGAGGTTCCTAGCTGGAGCTTCCTGGGGTAGGAAGGTCTCTTTGCAGAACCTGCTTGGAAAGGCCTGACTCTCCATGGGTGCAGCCGAGCTATGGGCCTCCATGGTTCTCCTGGGGGGCTTTTAAAGGGTGAGAATGTGGCAGCCAGGATTTGGAATAATCACACTGTAACTCTAGTTTGCTATCATGTTGAATGGCTTTGCTAATGGGGACCATGGCTCCTAGGCTGGAGGATGAGAAAGTATGGAGCTGAGGCAGGGGATTGTTCAGTATTTCACACTCAGTGTTCTTGTTTGATGAAAGCCCCTACCATCCTCCATGAGGGCATCTGAGCTGGAGAGTTTCTGGTGGAAGCTAGGAGCTGGGAGGGAGGGGGCCAGACATGGTGTGGTCACTTGTGCTCATTCTTCTAACAATGGTGGTGGCGGCTGGAACCCAGGATCCTGCATGCTACAATGAGCTACACCCCAAGCCTGGCCTCCCCTCTTTGTGACAGGTGAAAGATAGGTGTTCCATGAACCCAGGGGAACTCAGTGGTCCCTTCAGTAGGTAAGGGTCACATGTGTTCCTTAGCCAACCTGACAGCGGGAATGGGTGTGAGGATGGGGAGAAGTAGCTGGAGAATGAGAGGGCTGTTTGAGGAGGGACCAAGCAGACCTGAGCAAGAGGGACAAAGGAACTGGCTATTGGAGAACCCTCTGGCCTCTCGTGAGACTTGTAAGGGCTCATCTGGCTCAACTGAGTGCTTTGCAGGTTGTCCAGAAGGTCTTAGACACCGTTCAGCACAATCCACCATGCTGCTGAGGCCACATGTGGGTCCAGAAAGTTTTGACTTGCATTTCATCACCTGGTGAGTCTGTGGGCCCGCAGCGCCTGCTGAGCCATCGTGCAGCTCCTGGTTTTGCTGGTGAAGGTTTAACATCCCCTTTTCGTCAATGCAACGGAGCTGAGGAAGGAAGGATTCATGAGGTAAAATGACCTGTACTAGGTGACCTTGGCGTTGGGGTCCAGTTTCGCATTCCCTCGCTTTATTTATGGAACTGATCGATGCCTTGGGCAGACTACCTGTCCGGGTAAGCAGTGAGAGAAAGTTCTAGACTGGCAAGGCCCACCACCGTGCACCCTTTGCTTGCTGCCCCCACTTCCTTCTTTCAGAGGTGGCAGTTGCTGGGCAGCATGACCTCTGAAGGAGGAGATCAACGGCCTCAGATAGGAAAACTTTATCGCTGAGGTTATTGCGAGTGTGCCTTCCTCTACTTCTGTCCAGATCTGAACCGGTAGCCAGATAAACTGCTGTGTTTATCAAGTCTAAACAATTGTCAGAACGCAATTAGCCCTGGGAGCCCAGCGGCTCCAGAGAAGCAATGACTACAGCTGGCTTTTGCCGAGGACCCGTGCTTCTGGGCACACCCTCATCACTACTCCCTAACATGCTCAGAACCTCCTTTCCCCCCTGCCCTAAATTTTAAAGGGATTTGATGTCCTAACACATTTGTTTTGGTGTTCTTTGCCCATAGTGGGAAATAAAACCCGATGGCTTTTATAGGTGGATAAATCCTTTTAAAAGGCCCCTTTGTTATCACCGTGGCGTTTTGTGCACTAAAACCGAGTTTTAAGGGACCAGTGAAACCCTAGAATCACAGTTTGCTATTTCTGGAAGGGCCCTGAGTGCTTGGTCCTCAGCCCCTTCCTGGTGTAGACAGGGAATCACAATGCAGAGGACCTGGGACTTGTCAAAGCAGCATGTTTGTGAACTCTGGGCAGATGTGGGTTGGAAGCTTGGTGTGGCCGCTGACCTGGGCCTGACCTTGGATAAACCCCTGGAGCCACTGTTTCCTCATCTGTTGCAGGGAAATCCACAATCTGGACCTCACAGCATTGTTGGGAGAGAGGAACACTGTTTCCCTTGGTCAAGGTCACACAGATAACCAAGCAGGGCCAAAGCCAGAACTGTGGAATCGCATCCTGGATCCCAGGTTTTCATTCTTTCCACTTCGGGGTCTCGCCTCGTCTTCTATTTACCATCAAATAAAAGCGGATTTGCCTTTGTCCCTCCCGAAGTTCACCATGTTGCACCTCCAGATGGTCTGAGGCGCAGTTCTGCTCGGGGACTCGTGTTTGTACGATGACAGCATCTATATTTTTTCTGGATGAATTAATAATCGACTTGCCATTGTATTGAGGAAAAACCAGACATCACCTCATGGTCTCAGAAAGGGAGCGTCATTTTCCCCGTTCCTTCTGGCAAATGTGCTACTTAGATTTAGTGGTAGCAGGAGAGGTCTACGTGAGTATTTGCCCAGCTGAAGGGTGTCACTGGGCTACAGCCAGGAAATAGCCCACTCCTACCCCATCCTGTCTCGTGGCTTTAGAGATTGGGGTTCTGACTCATGACTAATCTCAGTTTGAGCCCTTTTTCCGGGAGTCGTCTGGGCCTTGGACACTAGGTGGCGCCACAGGAACGTCCTGGCTGTTTGAGGCTCGGCGGCCGCTGGCTAGGACGCCTGGCCCTGGGAAATCCTTCAGGCTTTCCACAAGCTCCCTCAACCAGATCCCTGCCATCCATGCCATGGCTCCAGCCTTAGGACATCCCCGGTGCTGCACGGCAGGCAGGGTGAGCGGGATCACGCCCTGTTGCTGTGGCCCAGCATTTGAAGTACCGAAGGGCTGAGCTCTTTTATCTGGGGTCTCTCCCTGCCCCATTATTAATTACTCATTTGTCTTGAGTGGCAGCAGCAGGAGGGCTGGAGTGTTGAGCAGGAGGCTGTGGAGTCCTGCAGACCCCCACCCCCAGCCCCCTGCCTGGGACTGTGCAGTGGTGAGGGGTAACAGCGGCCCAGTTGTCACCAGCTTCGGGCACTGTGTCCCACCCCTCCTGAGGCCCAGTGCGCCCCTCGAGCTTCTCAACTTTGTGCTCACATCGGCCCTTTTCCCTGGGAATCCCAGATTCCCTGTTACATCTCAAATCACACGGTGGTTTTCCCAGTGGCTGTCCCCTATCCTTCCTGTCTGTGTCGCCACATCCTTTGCCCCATTTAGGCAGCTCTTTGGCCTCTTGGGATCTCGGACTCGAGTCCCTGCCCTCTACTGCAGCCCACCGTCATTCTTCTACCCTCCACCACTGGAAACCCGGCCTCTGCCACCCTGAGCCTATAGCCACCCTCGTTTCTTTGCCAGGAACCCTCTGTGCAGAGTGCTAATGTAAGACACTGGAGTGGGGATGTCCCCAACCCACAGCACGCTGCCTTGCCTTTGCACTCCGGAGAACCTGACTTAAATTCTGGGGTGCCTGGTCCCTTTCCTGCCTCCCAAAAGCACACAGAGGTATTACGACATCTGTGCCTAGGGCAGGAATGGGACCAACATGCGCTTTGACCAGGAGAGCAAAAGCATATGGGAAGACCATGAAGGGTTGGGTTGGCAGGAAAGAAAGAAAAGGCAAGGTTCCAAAACCGGGGCTTCCGTGTGTCTGCCTTCTGGCCTCTGTGCCTTACCCTCTGCCACAGCAGAGTCAAAAGATGGCGAGTACGGTGTTCTGTGTGCTCAGTTTCCTACGGCTGCCTATCTCATGGGAAGTAGATCCTTGCTAAAGTACCCTAGGGGTTAATGATAAGAACTCAGTAAACAGTCCCAGTCACTGCCAAGCCGAAGCCCCCACCCTGCCTTTTACCACATTGACCTTGCAGAAATCAAATGTCACGTTTTATGTACCTTTCCTCTCCTGGCCGGAAGGGAGGACATACCAGGGCTCTCATATGTGGCCATGCACAGGAGATATAACATGCAACACTGAGCACATTCGTTTCCTTATTCCTGCAATGGAGCTTTAACCAGATCCTTGCCTTCTGGAATGTTCTGGAATGTTAGATGCTATTGTTAGATACTATTGGGATGACTGCCTGTGGCAGTAAGTCTCCATCATCATCTTCTATGGAAACCACTATAACTGGGAGACCTGGTAAACCATCCTTGGCTAAACCCCAGATATTCCTTTACCTATGAATGTCTATACTGCTGAAACAGAAGTAAGGGTCTTCCCAAACCTGAGCTTTCCTCTGCAGTATGATCCACACACCTGCTATTAGGGGGTGCCTGTTCTTGGTTTAAGAATTTGGATATTAGAACTGGAATGTAGCTCAGTGGTACCCGCTGGGCCTAGCAGGTTCAGGGTCTGGGCTTGATCCTCAGCACTGCCAAAAGGGTTGTCACCTTCAAATGCTTCAGGGAGCTCAGGAGGTCTCACTAGCTAGTCCGTGGATGAAGCCAAAGGACTTGATTGGATTTCTGCTGGGATCTTTTCCAAGACAGGCAAACCCTCCTTCAACTTGGGTCTGTGAGCACCACTGTGTCTGTGAGAGCTGTCTGCCTTAGGTAGCCGTCTCACAGCTCTTCCCTCTGTCCCCACCCTCTGGTCCCTGGGCCATTTATTAATGCTATGAATGAGACTGAGGTGGCAAGCCACCACGAAGTGTGAAAGCCGCAGATTACTGATGCTTTGCTTCAAGATGACTCCTTTGCTTGTTAGCCAACTTTAAACAGCAATATTAAAACTGCCTTGATTATTTTGAGAAGGTGGCCTGATTAGAAGCTATATACTGCTTCGACATATATGTTTATACGTAGCACTTTAGATAAAATACATATTTATATGTATGCGCGTGTGTGTGTGTGTGTGTGTGTGTGTGTGTGTGTGTGTGTGTGTGTGTGTAGCAATTTAATTACCTGGGCTAAATTCTTAGAAGAAATACACAGGAGTGAGCCCCTTCTCTGTTGCTACATTCAGAGCAGAGCCCACCACAGAAGGGGGTGGTATTGGTAGCCTTTGGAGGACTCCACAATGGAAGTCCCGATTGCACAGAGCCCTGCGCCAGTGTCAAGAGACAGTGTCTTTGGCACAAGCTGATTCTGACCTCTGCTGTGCTCTGAGGAAGTTCCTTTTCTATTGAGCTGGGCGGGCTGGGGAACAAGGGGGCAAGTCCTTACCACAGCTCTGAGAGACATTGACTTCATGCTTTTGTTTCTGGGGCTGGCTGTCTAGCCTTCCTAATGAGCAAATATGTTCTCTTTAAGGAAACAAACAAACAAAGCAGAAACACCAATTCATCTGGATTTTCTTCATTTGTTTTAAATACAAACAAACAAAAGGAGGGTGGTGATTTCTTCACCAACTATCTCCAATGCAAGTTGCCTCGTCGCTCGGGGTGCTTGGATGGTGCTTGTCACCATAGGACCCACAGGGCCAGTTCCAACTGTTACTCAGTAAGGCTTCTTTCTTTCCAAAATTCCCAGTGTTCCTTTAAGGCCCATTTAGCTGTGGGTTTTGTTTATTCTCCCGGCAATCAGCATTTAAAATAAGACAAACAAGCGTTTTTTCCTGGGCTGTGAATCCCTGACGGCCAGCCTCCACCTGCACACCTGAAGCCTTCGTGTCCAATTGAATTTCCCAGTAACCTAGAGCCCCTTCAGAGACCTGGCCCCTCTGCCTATCAGGCTGGGAATAGAGAACTTGAGCAGCGTAAATGCAATTTTAAGAATTGCTAATGACGCTAGAAATCTGCAATGCAATTAGCGTCATTGGATTTGGCTCTCTTCCGAAGGCACAAACCTCCTTGTCATACTGCAGTGGCAGAAGAGGCAAGTGGGCTTCGTGTGCCCAGCCCAACCCTGGGTGTGTTGGCAGCCCTTTCGCACCAAGATTGAAGCAGTTGCTTTGGCTTCCTCTCCATCTCTTGTGTGGCTGCTGACTTCTTTGTCTCTTTTCTGGGTCGTGCGGTGGGGGGGGCAGTTAGATGCAGGGTTGGATTGTAACCTTCCATATCCAATCTTCCAGTAGAGTCACTCTGTTATCTAGGAAATTGGGCCCCACTCTGTGAGCTCATTTTGCCTCCTAGTATTTCAGTTCAACCTTGATTTCTCCTGTTCTGGACCAGTAATTTTGGCAGGGTTCATTGTCATCTCTGCAGTGGTGGGGACCTCCCACCACCATTACCCACCATAGGAGCTTTCTCTCTCTCTCTCTCCTCTTTCTATCTTGCTCTCTCTTGCTCTCTGACTGTCTCTGCTTCTCATCCCCACCTTGTTTCCTTGTCTTCTTCATGTTCCACAGGTGAGGAGAATAGAAAATGGTGTGTGGAGAGGCAGAAGTACAGGCGTTGGGGCGGAGTATGAATGTGAACTATTGGACTAAAAACAAACCCTTACTTTTTCATAGGAAAATTATTTTTGCTTCCTGGAAAAATAACACAGGCTAAGCATGCAAATCCTGTTAGCTGCCTAATAGGCTGCCAAATGCCACAGATGATCTTAGTGGGTCTGTTCAGTTCAACAAAGGTTTCTACTCTGGGGATCTTCTTTCAAATACAGAGGCCCAAATCAGAAGCTCACAGAGGGGAGCTGTCCCTCCAAGATTCCAGATGTGTCTACGAGACAACACGTTATGGGGCAAATTGATTTCACCCTTGGGAAACTGGAGATTTTTCAAAGTTATGTCTGTGAAGCTGGCTAATGCAATTCCCCATTAGTACATTAAAGTGTGCCCTTATTAATTCAAACATAAAGGCAACAAAATAAGCTGTTAAATTTAAAATATAATACATATATAATGAGGAGAATGTGTGAAAGCCTTATTCAAATGAAAATACAGGAGTGTTTGAACTACTGAGGTATCTTTTGTATTGAATTATGAGCATATGTAATAGATTTAATTATTAATTTCCCCATTGTTCTATGCATACAGACAGGGTTCAAGGCACAGTCATTCTCGGGCTTTCATAGATCTAATTTGTATAATTATTGCCTGAATAAAGAATTGCTCCAATTCCTAGCTCTCTTTCTTTCTTTCCCCCTTCTAAATACTGTTTCAATGCCGCATTCCAAAAGGCGAGCACCTGCCACTTCTTCAAAGTCAGCTGATCATTTGGATGAGGCGGCCGCCGATGACGTCCCCTTTCAAGTCTCTTTGTCTAAGTGAATTATCGTGCGTCCTTTTAATTTTATTGAACAAATTACATTTGTCAAGGTCTATCTTTGTAAATAAATGATAACTAGAGACACATGGATGCGTATTTCTGCTGTTCAAGGGCTCTTGTTCCATTTCTGGAAGCCAGATGAACATGGAACAAAGGAGAAACTTTCCTCTAAAAGCAATTATCTTTCTGCATTCCCATCAGTATAATTATATTGCAGGGAATTTTAAGGAGCTGTAGAAGTAGAATTGAATGCTTAAAAGTGTGTTTGCTGAATTGCTATGCAAAAGTTGAACAGGCTGTATGGCATCAGGCAAAATAGTAGCTCTCTCCTGGCCGCATTTCCCTAAGTTCAGAGTGTGCCTCAAGGATAGAGGCGGAGTGGGGTGACCTCGGCCATGTTGAGGGGATCCTGTGTTTCTTGAACAGAATCTGTAATGACATTTCTGGATCCCGAGGGCTGTTGGCAAGGTGACTGGGAATGTAGACAATAAAACCACCCACTTCCAGTCTATCTGGAAGGCTTCTGATTTGCTGATTGCTCTCTGCCTAGAAGAGAAACCTACTAGCTTGTTAAGTAATCCACGGATTGGGGATAGAATCCAGAGAGGACTGTTCATCAGTGGTGGTGGCAGCACTTACTTTACCCCCTCAGGCAAAGCAGCGGCTGGCTTGGAGAGGTATTGAATGTGGTTTGTGTGGCTGCTCTGTCAATAAGGCATGTCAGCCAGGGTCATTTCTTCATCATTGGCTTCCCCACAATTTAGTGAGCTGTAGCTAAGAAGTAAATTGTACTATTTTATCACTGATGGCTCAGAAGCAGTGTAGTGTGTGTGTGTGTGTGTGTGTGTGTGTGTGTGTGTGTGTATGTGTATGCAAGTATCTTTCCTTAGGACATGCTTACTTTTTTTGAGACAGGGTCTCTCCCTGGCCTGGAAGTTGCCAAGTAGGCTAGGCCAAGTGAGCCGCAATGATCTGTCTGTCGCTGCCTTCCCACCATGAGGGTTGGCAATCACTTTTGCCAGTTTAAGAACCACAAACGGACAGTTTAGAGTGGAGATGGGCATTAGTGAGAGGAAGCAACAGAAAACAGAAGAACCATGGCAGATCTATGGAATGACACTGTAAGCTAGCGATTCTGAGAAAAAGAAATCTAGGAAGATACGAGAAATCCTTGCATCTTCAAAGAGAAATGGGCAAACTGGTGTATCAAAAGCCTGGAAATGAGATTCCAAGTTCCAGCAGGTGGTATGGGGCAGGGGGCAGAGCACAGGCCAAGGGTAGGGTCTCAGCTGCAAGATGAAGAGTCTGGGCTGGGTGATCAAATGGCTTATATTTAGATACTGTGACCAAGGTCGTAAGTTCCTGTCTGAGATATTGACCTCCAACAGGAATGGTAGAGGGGAAAACCCCGTACTGGGATTGTATGACTAGAGCTTCATGAACATGTTGAAGGGAAAGACAAGTTTATTCTCCTAAGGAAACTAGTCTGGAGGCTTTGCTGTTTTGCTCTGTGTTTTACTGTCCTTTTCCTGGGATATCAGCAGTATTAGTAATAAGCAACCCAATGAGTCAAAACCAGTGAGTCATCGTGGATCAGGAAGCAAGTGATTGACACAGTAGGTTTAAAATATTGACTTGGGCATCCCAGTTGTAAATCCTGCTCTGCCAGGAGAACTTGAGCATGGCATGAGTTGTGCAGGGATGGGCATGGATAGAGAGCCACTGCACTCAGCTGAGAATGGAATCTGTTCTCGTAGAAAGTACTGGATGCTCTCTCTGCCTTGCACTAGGAATAGGGGTTCCTTGGCCAAGACTACAGAGGTGAGTCTGATGGTGAGGCCAGGTAAGCACATCCAAAGTCACTGTCTGATGGTGAGTCTGGGCAAGCACATTTGAGACTATAGGACACAATGACAAGGCCATGGGAAAGTGAAGCTTGCACTGATGTCTAACAAAGTGGGGTATGCAAAGGACAGTGGAAGAAAGAACATGGAGGACAAGGGGCATAGAGAGGCAGGTATGCTGAGGAGCTGCTGATGCTTCAAGAGAGGGCCACAGGGGAAGGATGAGCAGGAGGGGAAGGGAGGGTGGAGGGAACCGTCCTGTGTCAGATGAGAAGGGCTGAGGACCCACCTAGAAATACTCAGCACACAGTGAGTTTGAGGCCAGACTGGCACACACAATTATAGGAAAATGCCAAGGAGTCACATAGTGCCATGGCTTGACCTCAATCACCCTGGCAGCCACAGCTGATTACTGGGGTCCAGAGCCCAGTGAAAACAAAAGTCCATATTCAAAAGCTATGCCGAGGTTCTTTTAGAGATACAAGAATGAGGTAGGCATGGGGGAACACAGCTGCAGACTGTGCAACACTTCCCTCATGAATGATGTCTGTCATTTAACCCACAGCATGCACGTTATTGGTACTGTACTTTAAGGTGGAGAAATAGCTCAGAAACCAGCTCTCCCCATCCCCAATTCCTCTAGGCAGAGGAAGACTTGGAGCCCAACCCAAGGTACTTGATTTTACTCTGCCATGAGAGTTGGCCCCTCTCATTTATCCCAGGCACCTGTGTAGGTGCTGAAGCCATACTGGTGGAGGAGTCAGAGCTAGCCTGCTCTCTCATAGAGCACAGACCTTAGCAGGGCCTTGGGGTCACGCCTAATCAGAAGTTCTTTTAGGGTCAAGGACAGACTCTTTTTCTCTGTCTTTATCTGTGTGAATAGCACAGTTTAATCCACTTAACCTAACAACCTTCATCACCTTTTGTTTTGTTTTATTTTTGAGACAGTCTTACTATGTAACCCCAGTTGGCTTAGAACTCATTATATAGACCTGAAATCTACTTGCCCTTGTCTCCAAGTGCTGGGAATAAAGGCATATGTCACCATGCTTGGCATCATCTTGTTTTCTGAGATCAGTGCAACCTTATTGAGACCTGGAGCTCATTTATTAGGCTGAGTTGGCTGGTCAATAAGACCTAAGTATCTTCCTGTCTCTGTCTTTCTGGTATAGAGATCACTAGTGCCTGCCTGGTAATGGGTTTTCACAGGGGTCCAGGAATCAGATCAGATCACCATGTTTTTGTACCAAGCACTGAAACATCTCCCTAGTTCCTCTCATGCCCTTTTAATGAATTACAGTTTTATTAGCAAGGCACTTCTATAGTGACTATAGGGAGAGAAATAAACTGTGATACTGGGTTATTATCAATTTGATATAATCTAGAATTGCCATGGAAAGAGGCCTTTGGGCATGCTTGACTGCTTTAATTGAGATGGGAAGACCTGCCCACTGTGGGTGGTATCATTTCCTAGGCCGGGGATCTTAGACTGTACAAAATGGAGAAAGTGAGCTGAGAGCTAGCATTGTAACTCTCTGCTTCTTGTGTGTGAGTGTAATGAGAACAATTCCCTACATCCCTTGCTGCTGTGGCTTCCTTGCCAACAAAGAACTATAACATGAACCAAAACAAGCCCATCCTCCCTTTGCATTTGTCAGGGTATTGTTAGCACAGCAACAGAAAAAGAAACTATGCCAGTATCTTACATGGATGTGTGTAGTTAAGTCAACATCAAATCCTAGACCGTTCATCTCCACATGAATGGACAGAGGTCTGGTTAGTTCTTTCATTAAGAAAGAACATGTGATCTGTTTTAAGAAACATAAGTCTTGGCAGGAGACTCAATGCTTCTGATGAAGAATGGATTTCAAAGTATTAAATGGTTGCTGAGCAGTAGTTCAGACAACCAAACAATATGGGTCAAAGACACTTACCTGGCTAACATCTTGGCCCCTCCCAGTGTCAAATGGTGTTAGCATGAACTAGTCTGTGCCTTGGTGTACTGCCCCAAGACGGACTGACAGATGGCTTTGGGTGATAGAATATGAACATTCAGGGTGTGGCAGGACTGATGGGAGTCAGGAGACTGGGCTCCTTCACCACTGGAGGCTACCCACTTAAGACAAGGGAAAGCCAAGTCATCTCTTTTTACAGGATGCAGCCTGGTCCTGATGCTATCTCTATAGCCTGCCATGAGCCAGAAAGCCTGGCAGCATGTGCTGTGAAGACCAACAATCCAGCAGAGGCACACAAGTCTGCACACTGTGGAAGGTCTGGACCTTGTCTCTGCATGTCTGACCTGATAGCTAGGACGGGGCTGAAAGTACAAGAGCTGGTGGGTTGACCTAGAGAACTGGTCTGTTATAGGTCTGAGGACCTCAGGGAGTCAGGAAGCCTGATGAAACCCACAAGGCATCTTGGAATGCAAAGACCATCTTGGGACTAACTGGAGGTCCTTGGTCCCTTCATTATCCTTCTAGGCTTGACAGGGTTGTCGTCACATACCCAGAGCTTCTTTGTTGTGTGTTTGCTCCATGTGGTGTGACTCTTCCTAATGGCCTTTCTTTTCTGGCCTGTGGCATCGTTGTGTTGTCAAAAAGTCCCTCTCCATAGTAACAGACGCTTCCACAGAGTTAACACCTCAACCCATTAAGCTTAAGTGCTTTTCAAAACATTTTATTATTGGTTGAGTGTTTGTGAGGCAGCTTACCTTGGACTCCGACCGCTTCAAGAGGTTTGTGCCTGTCTTGTGTTCCACAGGAGCTGTGCCACAAACCCAGCACATTCCAGCACCCTTCCCTTCCTCCTCTCCAGTGTGGGAAGGCCATGATGAATTTTGAATTCAGTTTTTATATTATTACTTAGCTCATTGAAAGAGGGATGCCTCTCTCAAAAGGCAATTTCTTAAATTGCATTTTGTGGGGCTAGAGAGATGACTCAGTAGTTAAGAGTGCTTGCTGCTCTTGCAAAGGACCATTGTTCAGTCCCCAGCACCACTCACACTG